AAATTTCATCATTTTTTATTTGCAGAAAAATAATAAAAAGTAATGACTACCATTATTGCTTTAGTAGAAAATGCAAAATTTAGAAAATATCTCATTATATTTTTGTGCCTTTATAGTTTTACAGAGAAAATTGGAATAAAATTTTTAATTCCATTTTTAGTGAAAAAATTTTAAAATGGAAAACTGCCATTAATATATTTGTGCAGAAAAATTACAACAAATAAAAAGAACTTCCATCCTTGCATTAAATTTTACAAAAACAATAAAAACTACCAATATTTTGTTCTTTTTACTATTATATATTTATAGAAAAGAAAATCATTAAAAAAACAAATGTTAATTAGTTCTTGTGATTTATGGTGGCAAAAACCCATAATACCATTATTTTATGATTTTGTAGAAACTTGCAAAAAATAAAATTAATTTTTTTATTAAATTTTTATTAATTTAAAATATTTCCATTATATTTTTGTAAAAAAAAATCACTAAAAAATGACAAAAATGACAATAATAATGTCACTTTGTATTTTTATTTTATCGCAAAACAAACTGCCAATACATTTCTTTAAAAAAGATTACAAAACTGACATTATGCTTTTGTAGAAAAATATTAAAAAACCTATGTATAAACATTATACTATTGTAGAAAATGACAAAAAATACCATTGTTTTTGTAGAAAAACTACATCAAACATCTATGACTATTATGCTTTTGTAGAAAAAACTGTTTTATATTTCTTGTAGAAAAATGTTTAAAAAAATTCCATCATTATATTTTTACAAAAATACAAAAAATAAATCATGACTTGGTTGAAATGAAAGTCATTATTACATTTCTATAGAGTAAATTATGTAAATTATGTTTGCAAAAAAAAATTTTTTAAATATGGCAATATTTTACAAAATCAGTCAATATATTTTGCATATAATTTTTTGAAAAAGTTGACAATGTTTTTGTAGCAAAAAGTACAAAGAACTCATGTTTTTGTGCTAAAATTAAAAATGACAAAGAATTACAAATACAGTACAAAAAATAAAAAAATTGCTATTATTAATTTTGTAAAAAAATTACCAAAATTCATTGTTTTCCAGAAAAAATAAAAACACACAACTGTCATTTTATTTTTGAAAACTACAATAATAAATTTACCAATGCTATGTTCCTTTACGAAAAATTACAAACTGTCATCAGTGATTTTCTTGAAAAATATTTTTTAAAAAAGACGTGCTATATTCTTGCAAGAAAAAATAAGAATACATGCAAAACTAAAATAAACTACAAAATCGGTAGTTATGGTTTTGCAAAAAAAAATATAAAATATATCATGGTGTGTCTAAATTTAAAAAAATGCAAAGTTTTAGAAAAAACTGACATTATGGAATTTGTAGTGAAATATTAAAAAAAGAAATGAAGGTTATTATTATAATTTTACGCCATGAAAAATTCAACAAAAAAACTAACATGGTTTTCATAAAAGATGAAAAAAAAATACCATCATTTTTTCAAAAAGAAAATACAAAAATGTGCAATTATTTTGTCCCTAAATAAAATATTTCCATTATGTTTGTTGTAAAAAAAGTTAAAAATTATCATTGTTTTTGCAGAACAATTACAAAAAATTTCCATTAATTTTTTGAAGGAGAAAGATTTTCAAAAAATCACTCTTTGCCAATCTATTTGTATTTCTTTGTAGAAAACTTACAAAAACTCAAAATTTTCCATTATTTTTTATAGAAAAATTATAAAACTAAAAACTAACACAATTGTTTTCTTGTAGAAAAATTACAAATTATTTCCATTATTATGCCTATTTGTAGAAAATATAATGAGATTATTTTATATTATATTTTTGTAGAAAAACATAATGAGAGTATTTTAATTATTTTGCAATTTTCTTTAAATCAAATTAAAGGTTTTTCATTTTTAATTTTTTTTACTTTTTTGTCACAAAAACATAATGTAAGATCTGTCATCCTTTCACAAAAATTGTTTGTTTTTAAGGGGAATTTGAGTCATTTTTTTGTACAAAAATTAATGGTATATTTTTGATTGTGTGTGTCTCTGGTGGTGGTGGGGGTTGCATTTTTCTTTCCAATAATATAATAATTGAATTTTCTTTATTCTAAAATTCTTCCACAAAAATAATAATGACATTTTTTTTATTACTGAAAAAATTTAAAAAACAAGAAAACAACTCTGTTTTTGTTGATACTCATTACCCAGGCCCTTCAGAGCTCACACTGTTATAGGGAGCTTTCACTTTCTAGCTATTCTGTTCAAAAGTGAACCATTTGGCTTTTTTAATCATTTCACCCCAAGCAAGACATTAATTCCACTAAGACACAAGTGGTTACTGGAGGTGAAAGAAAGTAAGAAAACATTAATGAAGAGAAAGGACAATAAAAAAACAGAATTCAGAAAGAGAGAAGATGGCAATTGATGTTGCATTTAAATTTTTGAAGATCATAGTTGACAGGAAAGCAAGAAGTCAAAAGAGAACCAAGTGTGCAAGAAGAAACTATTAGAATAGAACTTACGGTTACATTTAACTATTTCAACAGTAAAATGATAAAACCTAGTTGCCAATGCAAGTACACTTAAATTTATACAGTTAAGATACCAAGGAGGAGAGGTCATTAGAACAATTGCCATGAAAATATTTATAGATAAGACAGCAAGAAGCCACATCACAGCAGTAAGAAAGTGACTGAAATGGAGATGCCAGGTCAAGACAAATAAGATTACAGACCCTTCTTTGGATTTTCTTTAGATTCTCTAAATATACTACAGAAGCATTGGACCACATATTGCAGAAATGTTCAATGTACAGATGAAATGGTAGATTTATAAATGTACAAGATGTATTCTGGCAAGAATAATTGTCCAACACTATACGGTGAACCAACTTTCCTAGCAACAGACCTAGTAATTGATTCAATATAATCACTCCACTTCATGTCAGTGCAAAATGTGAGACCAAGAAGGTGCAATAAGTTGCTCTCCTGGAGGTTAGCATCAGCCATGCTGACGGAAGGCAAAATTGGTTATCTGTGATGACTAAAAGTGTTCCACATAAAATATTTACCATCGAGTAGATGACATTTTAATTTGCAGAAAGTTTCTGGTTCTGATACAAAAGCTGGCTCAAAAATTTTGTTAAGAGTAGATTTCCTGCACTTGTGTCAACTTATTATTAAAATGTTATCAAGGATGTGTGCATGGTGTAATAATTAATGGATTTCCTATTCATGCTTTTGTGTGAGTTTCATCCATAAAAAAAATAGCAAAGACAATTGATTCATATTTGTGGTAACTTCAATAATATTCACATGGTGTGGTTAGACCACTCAATCAGAACTGATGAAGAAGGTAGATACTGTCATGAGTTTTCTTTCACTTATGATCTGACCCAGATAGTTGATAAGCCTACTTTTATTCCTGATACAACAATCATCACACAAACTTGCAAGGCCTCTTTCTCATATTTTAGCCTGAAAAATGTTTTTTGCTCCCCTGGAAACTTCTAACTGATCACTGATTATTGTTAAAATTGATGCCAAACCAAAAGAATTCCCTGATGTACCATTTCATAGGATGATATTTCAGTATGCCAAAGTTGACTGGGACAGCATCAGATCTTACATTATGGAAGCTCTCTTTTCAGTTTTCTTCCAGAAACTGCTCCATCCCCTCCTTTCAGTTATCTTCCAGAACTGCTCAATCTCCTCATCTCTCAATTGATCTTCTCAGGCATGGATAATCTTATACCAAAGAAAAAATAAAAATTACCAATAGAAACCACATAGCTAATCTTTGTTCATGCCAGAATGTGCTGAAGCTATAAGCCACCATAAACATTACTACCATCTATAACACAGAGAACAGGGTGTAGAAGTGATTCTGTATTTCAAACTGCCCACAAGAGAATTCTAGAAAATACTAAGAGCAACTTTTTTTGATTGTCAGATAAGGAAAATATTGTTCAATAACATCATGAGATAATTTCATTAAAAATACTGTACCCAATACTTTGTACTTGATAACAAGCCCTGATCTACTACCTAAAACTTAGGAAGAGTTTTATATGTGCAAAAATATTACATTAGTTGTTGATACATTTTGGGAAACAAGAAAACAATATTTCTTGATAATGTGTAATTCATTTTTCTCATAAAAATTTTGTCATTAGCTTTTGGTTAAATTGAAGTTAAGCAATCAGTATTTGAAGAGTGATCAAATTTCTTTACACAGAATATGGATTGATTATTTAAATAAAAAACCCAAGAAACACTTTCATGATCTTATAAATCAATTTATCTTATTCAATTTTATCCTTAAAATAAATTAATGTATTATTATCCACAAAAATGTTAGAATTGCAATTTCATACTAAAACATGGCAATTGGATACAAGTAAAACTATTTGATATTACTAACTGCAAATTTATCTTTGATCATCAATTATTGTTGCTTGTTTCAACACATATTTTCAATATATACTTTTTATTTTGCTTCTTAAAAAAACGTATTTGCAATTAGGATTAGACTTCAGTTTGTTATAAAATATTAAAAACTGAATTTTTCAAATGTTTTTTATATTAAGGGATGATTTGTTTCTATTGATATCTCAGTTTCTTTATACTAAAATAAATATTCATATATTATAATCCAACTACTGCTTTCTCCTTTTTTATCTTCATTTAAGTTTGTCTCATCACAGATTCAAACCAGTTATTTTTTTTCATCAAGCATTTTTATATAATGTAAAAGAAATCGTATACCTAAAATCAACATAAAGACACATTGACCTGACGTGAAATAAAAAAGATTTTTTTTTTAAATCGGGGTAAAGGTGACTGTAACCAACACAAAAAATAGCGTAAATGTCATTTACGGCCCTTGAGTTGATGTAGACTGTTAGTACTATACTTCAATATCACACCCGCCATTGTTGCGACTACCAAACTTTGCCAAGGCTCAGCTGACCACGGTTGTAGACATGGCAGAGGTAATGTTCATTTATTTATAAACACGATCTTGTAAATGTTGGAGGAAAAACATTTTCATTTTAGTAATATCTTTCCTTGGTGCTTTTTTTCTTAGAATAAGAAACTGTCTTTCTTTTTCTATTTTGTTGTACGTTTTCATACCATTATTCGTCTATCCGTTCACACACACACCTACTTTAAGACTTAAGTTAATTTTTTTTTTTTAATGTTTACCACGTTTCCATATAATTTTCATGTCGGTTATATTATTTTTTTATCTGGTAAGTAAATCATCCTCAACCGCGTACGTTCGTTGTACGTATTGTAAATTTTACAAAAAATCTTATTTCTAATCCACTTTTAGTTACACACCAAATAATTGAAAATTATTTTCTGTTTTTATTCATTTACTTTTTACAGTTTACGAAGTGAAGTAAATTGTATGTGGATTTTTCTTTCGCAATGTCATCACTAATTAATTATTAAGTTTGTTGCATCCTTTTTATTTTTTTATTTTTTTTACTCTCTAAGTCGATAAGTGTAAGTAACAGTGGTGTTAGTTTAAAATAAAAAAAATACATAATAAAAATAAAATTCTTTAATTTCAATCATAGTGTAATTTTTCCTCCTAAAAGTTTAAAATTTCTAGTTTTAACCTTTTTTTTTTTTTTTTAAAGAAATAAAAGCGAAATAAAATAGGAAAATCTACATAATTGCTCTCTTTTTTTAAATTAAATATATATTTTTTTCATCTCTAATTTAAATAGCAAGAAAATATCACTGGCTTATTTCTTTTATAATTTTGACTTTCTATGATGTGGTTCCTCTGAAATATATTCATTATTTTCTTAATCCATTCGCCTAGTTTCCCTAAACAAAATCATCGCCTTGCTATCCGGTGTCAACAGCTTTTTTTTACCGTAACATCTTTGTTTATGGTTTGAGTCATGCTTACCTTTTCAAAAATAAGTTTATATTATTCTTCCTTGATTGTCTTTTTTCTAAGTCCAATTTCAAAAAACACACTTGGTTGAAACCATAAACAAGATTAATATTTTTTTTTTACTTTTTTGAAAATCGTTATAACATGAAAAAAAATCTAAAAGTTTTTTTTAAAGATGTAAAAATATTACGCCATGGATAAATTACTACTAAAAGAAATCTTAAAATTTAATCTGCAGAAATGTTTTAAACAACTTTTTGCTACGACTGTTTTAGTAGGTACTTTCCATGAGATCGCTAAAAAAAAAAAAAAAAAAAAGAGCATAGCATGACTAAAAACTAAAAAGCGACTTAAACTTAATGAAAATTATTTTTTCTTCTCTAAAAATGTTTGTTAGGAAAGATTGATTATTTTTCGATTGTTTTTTTTTTGTTTGTTTTAGACATTTTTATTTAATCGTCTCTAGCACGTCCGAAATTTTCGTTAATCTTTTTTTATGGTTTGATTTTTTTTTTTTTTTTTCGAGTCAGCAAAATTTACACACAAAAAATCGATCATGTCAACAGTTTTAGTTTTTAAAACAAAAATTATATGGCCCATAGCGGTTAGTAAAAATTCCAAAAACCTGAAAGCTAAACGAAATCTGAAAAAAAATCCACTTATTGCTTTTTAAAAGCGAATTCAATTTTCATAAACTACTTTCTTTATTGGAGAATCTACTACTCACTGTCTTTCTTCTTTTGCTTTAAGATACTTGATGATCACTTTGAACACTTTGATTTCTCTATTTATTATTACTGTTAGTGTTATCTGCATTTATTAAGTCTGCGAATAAATGTATTGTACAATACATCGAATAGACGAAGAGATTCTTGGACAAATTGTTTTATGTATATAAAATGCATATTAACAATTAGGGATTTCTAAAATAGGAAGTTTTAAAAAACAATGAATGACGGTTTTTCTTCAATCAGTAACCTACTCTACCTTTTGCTTGTTAACTTGCTGATTAGATTTCAACTTTCGTTTCATAACAACACTGTTCTCCAAAGAGTTTCACTTTTAATTTTAAAAAAAAAAAAAAATTCATGAGATTAAATAAGATTTTCTAAAACAAAAAATTTCAAAAATAATTTAATTCATTTGTCAATAAGTCCTGAAAGTTTCAATTTATTAAAATCCGAAAATTTGATTTTTTGCAAGAATTTCCAAATCAATGTGTTTTTTCACCGGAAAAAACGCAAAAAATACTCTTTGGAAAAGTCACGTCTCGTGCTGACGTAAAAAACAAGATTTTTAAACCAAAATTTTGAATGTGTTAGAAAGGTTTAAAAAAAAAAAAAAAAAATTTCTAAATAATTAAAAAATAAAAAACTTTGGTCTTTAACGTCAAAATTTTGACGATTAAACTTTGTGTTTATTAAGTTTGTAGCCTTTTTTCATCATGTTATGCTGTTTTTCAGCGAGTAAATACAGGGACCTTTACGAGAATCATAATTCATAAGGCATCGATCGATCTTTATTTTCAAAATCAAAATATCGAATTTCTCGTTCTTGAATATGCTCAAAACAATCTAAAGGAGAATAATTTTGCCATTGTTCTCTTAAATGAAACCTTTTAAGTTTTTGTAACTTATCAACCAACTGCTTACATTGGAATCATTTGCTACAAACAACATAAAAGCGAAATAAATCCTGTTATTCTTGTGTTCATCCGTAACGTTTATTAATAATTCTTAATGCGCAAGAACTTATATTTTTTTTACATTATCAGGTTTTATTGTTATATTATTGATTGATACTTTGGGGAGAGTGGGGATGCACCATATCTCATCTGGAGTAATATGCTTGGTTTGGCCTTCACTGAATAATAATTACAGTGAAAACGTCTGGTGTTACTTCATCAGTGATTTAAATGATTGTCACATGATTATTTTTTTTTTTTTTTTTTTTTTAATGAATCTGTTTAATAAATTAAATATATCATCTTTTTTTTTCTTTTCAGTTTTTCGCATTCATGAAGACAAAAATATTCGTACACATAAACTAACAGTACTAAAAACACAAATCTACAAATAACCGATCTCTGTCGTTTCGGTTTTCACGTCTAAAGTTTGTATTTAACAACGAAAAACTAAAAGGACTTTTTTTTTCTTTTTCTTTCAGTTAGAACTTTCTGCAGCTCTTGTTTTCTGTAAATAAATATCTTCTTTACTTTAGGGGATTATCAACGCCCACTCAAACTGAACGATTTAAAAGGCCTTCAGTCTTTACACCTTTCCATGGTCGAATTGATTGTGTCAATGCAGTTTTTTACGTACACCTTGATTAGAATTTCAATATCTACTTTTTTAGTGTTATATTTTTAGCTTCCTTTTATTTTTCGTGCTGTTGACAATTTCTTCTTACGGAGAAAATTTTTCATCATTGGCAATAATTTTATTTTTAAATACACTGTTTTCTTATTTTATTTTTATTTTCCTTTAGTTTTACTTTACATCGATCAATTCAGTGTAATTAATTTGTGACTCTGTGGGGGTCAGTTGCCCTCACTAATTTATTAGACACAATGCTACAAAATAATAATAAGAAGAAGAAACAAGGAAAAAAATCAGACAAAAGAAATTGTACAAATAAATTAAATAGATTTTTATAACAAATGTACAAAAAAACAATATGTTGTTTAAAATGGTGAAATAAACTTGTCTTTTTAGATTTTGTGTGAGGTAATGTTCCAGTTTGATAGACTGCCAGTTATAGGCTAATTTGTGTGAATTTGGAAAATTTCAGTTCAATGTAATATTGTTTGTATTCAAAATAAACAGTTCAAGGTTTGTGGAAAAAGTGGGTGTGACTTGCGTTGTGTTTGACACTTGAGTGTCTGTCACTTCGTTGTTTTCCACTGTGAGTTTAGTTTGCATTGAATGAAGGAAATAGACTGTGTTTATCATAAAAAAGATTTTTAACTTATAGCCTGGACTTCAGTTGAAAGTTATTTTATGATGAGTGTTGTCACATAGCGTGTAGCTTTTTCAGCTGATTTTCTCCACTCTCTGTTTCTTAACTGTTGTTTATATAAGCAATATAAGTCACATGATAGGCTCCAGAAAATGTTTTAAAATATTGGTGCAAATGTACCTTTGATCAGCTCAAATTAAGGTCAGACGTGCAGACATAGTCAACAACATATTATTTTTGTTGATCAATCAAATTACGTTAGTTATGTAATGTATGTTCTGAAATGAGGGGTGTAGTATTCTTAATTGAAGCATATACTAAAATTCCTCTTTTGCTATTTTGTATTTTCTGGTCGTAACCTGGGTGGTGAGGCGTGTGCCAGCAGACCAGTTGTTTCAATGTAATGCTTGGCACTGTGACATATTTTGTCTGAATGCTTTAAAGGTGTTGTTAGGTTAGGGCATTTTTTTTAGTAATCCATGCAGGCCATTGGTTTTTGGTAATGCTGAACTTATGCCTGTTGAGTGTTGATGTATAAGTTGAAGTGATACTCTTTGTTTTAAGTTTTGTTGTATTGTCATCTAGTGAGTGTGTCGATATGTTTACAGATAAGTTAAAATGAGACAAAAAATCTGCACTGGGGATTGGCGTTTTCACCTGTGCCGTGGTGAATACCACGGGAAAGATCATTGTAATCTTAGGTCCAGTGTTAACAGAATTTCCCCATAAGTTTCAATCCTTGATCTGTTCACTGCCTGTAACATATATGAAGATTTATTATTGACCACCTTGGGTCTTGGTGGAATGACACTGATTTAGGCTCCTGTGTCTATTAAAAATAAATATCGAGTAGTACTGCTGTCCCATATGTAAAATAGACAATGACTTTTATCTCTTCCAACAGCAAAGGTCATCCTTACTTGCTGCTGGGATGCTTGTTTCTCAGATATTGTGTTGGGGTATTAGAAGACTAAAAATTGCAAAGGCTTGATACACATTCTTGCCTTATGTCCGAATTTGTAATGGTACCAGCAAGTGAGAATTTGCGTAGTGTGCGTATGTAGTTTATCCATCTATAGTTTCTTCAACACCATTTCTAACATGGTGTTTCCACCTAAT